CTGCGGTAATAAACATGACAATAAAACGCATTGTTGGGAAACAAAAAATATTCCTTTTACTTGACGTTCCGTATGTTTCAAGATATATATTCAGAAGTGACGGTTTAGAACAGAAGTAACAACTAAATTTAGATTTAAGACAAGTAACTGCATAATACATAATGTATTCAATAACTGGAACATCAAGTAAAAAGACATAATTTTAGTTTTCCAACAATGCGTTCTATTGTTGTGTTTATCCCGGCAGTTTACGTGTTGTTTCGCACTTAGTTATATTGATTAAAACAGACCAGCTCAATGAAGTAAGACTTGAGATTTAAAACAATGACAATAACAAAACGATTTCTGCCAGTTTCTAGCTTTTATTTCTAATTGAAAGATAACCTACAATGTTTGATGTTAGCGTAAAGCTCCCATCACTTTACGAGATGGTCGACTGCTAACATTGAAGTTGAGAACAGCACATACATTTCTCACGATGTTATCAAGAAGATTAATGATTAATGTTGACTACAAGACGAATCTTGCGTGATCGCGACCTTGATGAACTTGATGCCAACTCTCTCTCCTTTGTTGGTCTTATAAACCTCGAGGTTGAGCCCTTTGCAGAGCTTCAGCCGGTTGATGTAGCCAGCGGTCTTCACAAAGCCATTGTCCTGCGCGGTGTAGCACGACCCCCAGCGTTGATCTAACTTAAAAGTGAAGATGAAACGACCAGGGTAGAGAGAGTACTTGCTTACTTTAGGGAAATTCGTGTTTTTAAAATTTATGTCCTTCAGAGTTTTGCCAGATGTGCCCTCGATTGCATAGCAGGGGGATTGTCTGGCGTAGCTCCTCCTGTCGGGCGCTTCAAACCCGATGAAGGTTTTCCCATCTGACAAGCCGTATCTTATGTCACTATCGTACCCCTTTCCACCAATTCTGACGTCATTTGCGACCGTGACTTCCACTGTGAGAGGAACGCAATCTGTCAAGACATTGGCTGCGATCAAAGGGACTTTAAGAAGGGCGGCTTTCTCGACTGAGCCTGCGTTGAATGTGATCAGGTCAGCGGTTGTGGTGTGATAACTGTCAACGTAGGATGCGTGACCTTCAAACCAAGATGGCGTCATAGTCTGATGGTAAATGAGTTTACCCTACAACACAGAGATACTTCTTGTCAATAGCAATCAATATTTAATTAATATCTCAAGATTGTGTCAACCCTCCCCCTCCCCCTGGGGTGGTGTGGTGGGAAAGAGCAGCTAAGTCTCTTCGAGGCCTGGGGAGAACCAAATAGTAGTGCCAGTAAACAAAGCGTACGAAGAAGCACGCAAAGGGTTGTTAAGGGAAATACTCCTTGCACCGGCAAAATTTATGAATTGTTTGTTAGCTAGCAGCTGCGTTTTATCTAAAGCCGGTAAACAACGAATTTCGCGTAAGATTGAGTAAAAGCCATGTATTGAATAAAACGTTAGTTCGCCAATGCATGTAAGAGTTAGTCTCAAATGCATTTTCTTGTTTGCTTTCTCTGAATCTAAAGAACTGTATGCCTAATGTAACAAACACCAGTGCAAGACAAAACTAAAAGTTATGGAGAGCTTCTTTCACAATTTTTATGCTGCTATTTAGTAAAAGAAACAACAGATTTTAAGAAGCTTTTCGGCCTCTCCCTGAAATCCTTACGTTTTTCCTTTCGCGTCCCCAAGGGATATACTACCTTGTTTCCACCACCCCGTGTGTAAAACCATCTTTTATAACACAGCAATATTCTCACAACACATTATCAACATAGTCTTTGGTAAACAGTCAAAATTCTTGAGGTAAGAAGAAACACGAGATTAACATCGATAAACCAACCACATTAAAATGGTCGAGGCAGTTTTTACCAGAGATTTTCAGTTGTCTTGTACAGAGAAAAGTACTCGGTCCGTGATTGATTGGCGCAGTAATTAGACGCACTTTGTGCGGAATCGTGATACAAAAATCACGTGACTGACCTTCAGCTCAGTGGTCTTCGTTGGGCAGCATACCTGCGGGCATGCATCATCACAGCTTACCTGCGTGACGAAGAAATTAAAGAGAGAGAAAAAATAGGAATGTTCTACATGAGTCATCACGTGCAGCCTTTCGTCTTCGAGTAAGGAGCGAGGACAAAAGCATGTTCTATTGTTTTTTTTTTTTTTAGGAGGGGGCGGGGGGGGAGGGGGAATTTCTTTCGTATTATCTAATCAAAGGAAGAATTGTGTACTTATACCGCCGGCCGTTCACAAGCAATACTGTAGGCGTGGTAACCTAATGGCTATCAGCGTTATACACATCGCATCGAAAGGCTTGGATTCCAGATAGCTCTTAACAGGATCATTGTGCTGTGTTCTTGGGCAAGAACCTTGCTATCACAATGCCTTCCTCCACCCAGGTGTATACGCAGCTGCCGGCAATTAGTCAGAACATATCCAGCGGTTCACATCCTCTGGCAGTGTGCTCTGTTTTGTTTACGAAGCACCGACAACAGACAAGTGTTTGTTTGCTCCCCTTGATGTATGGTAGTCCCTCTTTCACGGTTACAAGTCAAATACTTTTTGGTTAACCTTCCCCTTCCATTAATTCTCCTGGGTGAGAAACTAGGCACTGTTGAGTTGAGTGCCTGGCCTAGCGAGGCACACAACATTGGTTCAGACCAGGACTTTGGTCTTCCCTCTTCTTTTGGATAAGCCGAGCTGCACTTTACTTTTTTGCCTCCACAGCAAAGAATAATATAAAAGTAATATCAGGTAACCATCATAAATTCTGCTGTAAAATTAACGTCAGTGGAATTAAAGCCGTGCAGGAACATTTTACGTCGACAAAAACACCTTATACTTTGACAATAGGCCCTTTGCACGATCCGGTCACACGGTACAAAATCACACATGCTGGTGTGCAAGTTGCACAGTGGGACTTCCAAAACAATACCACTCGTACCAGTCCACCTGGACCTGCCTTTGTTTTGGAAGTCTCACTGCGGAACTTGCTCACCAGCATGTGTGATTTTGTACCATGTGACCTGATCGTGCAAAGAGCCTATTCCAAACATTTTTTTGTTGCTGTTATCATTTCGAACAACCGATATCTAATAAAGACATCGTTTTTTTGAAGAGCTAAAACTGAGTACCAATTCCTCTTGAGTGAAGAATTTCTTTTTAATGCATTTATAATTTCGATTCCCTTGGACAAGAATAACAAATAGCATGGGCCACCAAACTTTAGACAAAACATTCTGGAGAGGAATGGCTTCTACCGAGACGAGAAGATAAAAAGTTAATGTTA